TCCGCTCGACCGTCGGCACAGAGACGAGCGGCCGCACCGCCCGAGTCCGTCGCTACAGAGCTGGCCGCGAACCCTCAGGAGCCTGAGCGTAGAACTTCCTCAAACACTCACAAAAACCCAGGTTTTGGGCCTATCAAGGAGGCTAGTATTTCGGTGTGTATATAAAATCTATTTGTCTTTTATATACACACCCGGTGTGTATATAGCCACGGCGATAATTTATCTCAGAACAAAGTGGTCAAAAGTCTTATACCTGAGTTTTAGACCTTGGCACGGTAGTGCAACCTTTAAAGTCTATTAGACCTAAATAAAAGAATCCTATACAGCTGAACCATGAACACTGAGAAGTGACCCCCCACCCCCTGGACAGCTGATGACTGAATGAAAAACTAGTAAGAGGGCCTGCAGGGGGGGGGGGCGACAACGCTCTACGCTGAATTCGGAAACCTCTCGTTTACACTTTACGATAAACTCCAAGTGGTGACAACGCATTACGTAGAATTAAAACGCTGAATACACTCTACGCAAAAATATTAGAGCGGTCCGTCTAGCTACGCTCTACTACGTAGAATTAAAACGGCCGATTACGCTCTACGGAAAAGGGCTTGCGGGCCCCCTAGTAACACTAACGTTAACCTTTAGTATCTTCTTTTTAATAGCTGACGTCCCTTCAGTACTGGGATGCTCTTTAAACCTGAATAACATTATATGTCTTTATTGGCACAATAATGTCTCAGTGCTGGGAGTGGAAAGAAATTTGCTGGATCATTTGTTCCAACACAGAGACTATGATGCTACATGTGTCCTCACACACTGAGACTATGATCCTACATGTGTCCTCACACACTGAGACTATGATCCTACATGTGTCCTCACACACTGAGACTATGATGTTATTACATGTTTCCTAAAACACTGAGACTATGATGCTACATGTGTCTTCACACACTGAGACTATGATCCTACATGTGTCCACACACTGAGACTATGATCCTACATGTGTCCTCACACACTGAGACTATGATCCTACATGTGTCCTCACACACTGAGACTATGATCCTACATGTGTCCTCACACACTGAGACTATGATCCTACATGTGTCCTCACACACTGAGACTATGATCCTACATGTGTCCTCACACACTGAGACTATGATCCTACATGTGTCCTCACACACTGAGACTATGATCCTACATGTGTCCTCACACACTGAGACTATGATCCTACATGTGTCCTCACACTGAGACTATGATCCTACATGTGTCCTCACACACTGAGACTATGATCCTACATGTGTCCTCACACTGAGACTATGATCCTACATGTGTCCACACACTGAGACTATGATCCTACATGTGTCCTCACACTGAGACTATGATCCTACATGTGTCCACACACTGAGACTATGTCATGTGTCCATCCAGGATCAGGATCTGACCTGCCCACAGCCATGGTCCAGCCTGTGCCTGAGAGGATGGATTTTCCTCGTGCAGAGGAAGAGGTGCTGAAGCTCTGGAAACAACTGAATGCCTTTCAGACATCACTGAAACAGTCGAAGGGAAAGGCCAGGTATGAGTGTCCACAGTGGACAGGGATGTGGGGTGTGAGTGTGAGTGTGAGTGGGGAACATACCGGGAATGTGTCGCTGCGGAAGTCTGTTGGGATCTCGACATTGCTGTCAGGATTTCAGTTTGTTATCGGAAGTGCATCGACTGATGTTGATTTGAGATACTTTTCCAATGGGCTCCTAATTTCCTAAATTAAACCAATGGTATAATCTGACTAATTTAGTAATATTATAATTTTTTCCCCATATACTAGTAGTTCCAAGGCTGGCTCAGATCTCCAGGCAACAAGTAACAAACATGGCAGGGATTTCCCAGCTTGTGTGTGGACATGGCCTCCTGTCATCAAGCTTTAAATCTTCTAGCAAGTGATCATGTGCTACAAATGTATCTATGAATTTATCAAATTTAGACAAACTACAGTGAAAACTCTCTGTGGCTGGGTTTATTTTAACTTTCTAATGTGTTAATTCTAGAGAACTTAGGAATCCATTATTAGTGTAAGTGACATAAAACAGATGAACTTTCATGATAAAAAACTTCACCTTGTACAGGTAGAGAGAAGTCTTGTCTTAGCTCTAGTCTTCTCCCAGGTACTCCTTCTACGATGGGCCTCCCTTTGCAACTGGCCTGCCTCACTACGGCCACATCCTGGCAGGTACTATTAAGGACATAGTGACCAGATGGGCCCATCAGAGCGGCTTCCATGTGGAGAGGAGGTTTGGCTGGGACTGCCATGGGCTGCCAGTGGTGAGCAGTAGTCACCACCTTAGCAGGATTAGTAGTGTTATTGTTTCTAGGAAGTTTTGGGTACAATTTTGCTTCATTATGTCTATACACAACATTGCAAGCAGGGCTAGAAATACTGGGTGCATGTGCACCTTTAAGTGCACCCAAATTTGGAGCTGTGCACCCAATTTTTTTCTGTGGGTGCACCAGTGCACCCAAATATTTTCTTGGTTTTTCGTATGTAAAGAATAAAAAATATGTTAAATGTGTTTTAGTATACAGCGTATTCTTAACATCCTAGTGTCAGAAAAATAATATAACTATTGCTGTAGTACTTTTCTTTAGAAATAAAACATATTAGTTTTTGCTGACATTATACTTATTTCATTTTACATGGTATACCCAAAATATTTATTTTGCACCCAATTTTTTAGGTTGGGTGCACCTATTTCCGAAAATGAATTTCGAGCCCTGGCAACTAATGGGGAAAGACATGAGCCCTACAGTCATGTTGTCTTGTCCATTATGCCATTTCATGTGATATTTGATGATGTAAGAACCAGGGATATACCAGTGACATTGCTTTTCCAAATTTACAAGTTATGTTTCTAAATGTGTCCTTCATTTTTTTCAGGAATATGAAATTGACAAAACGCTGGGTATCAAAGGTCCTGAAGATGTGGCTCAAATGGGCATTGACAAATACAACCAGGCCTGCAGGGGTATTGTCATGCGATATGCTGGAGAATGGAAGGTGAGATCATTCACCCACACATACATGTAACCCTAACCTGAGTTTAAAAGTTGTCATTTTGTGGTATAGCAGCATAACTTAATTATGGATGGATTATCATGATAATTTTTTATATAATTACCTTTGCCAAGATGGTTATGTTTTCGTGGCTGTCTTTGTCCAACACTAGTTTATTAATCATATCGTACATCATGCATAGTCTGGACATTTTTTTCTGTCTCCAGTAACTTCCATTGTAGGTTTCTTTTTGTATCTGTGGCACACATCCACTTTCATAGTTGTTTGCACAGTCTTTTATCCTTGTCCTTCTCTGTATATTATGGATCCCATAGTGTCGCAGCATACTAATATTTTTGTATTTTTGGTGACGTCTCAGGGAGGAGCCTAATGGTACAGTATTGTGTGCAGTTTGCAAGAATTCTAGGAATGGTACAGGCATTTTGTCCACAGGAATGGAATGTCCACAGGCATGTCTCCGACCCATATCTATGCCCACATTCATGGAAACCCTTGGGAAGACCTCTCTGCCCCGGATGGCCCTAGTTTCTGTGACTTTGAGTGCACTGTATCTGTCTACCAAGTCTTCCTCAAAATCATGAAATCATGTCAGTGCCATGCAAACAATAACCATAACAACAACTACCGTCGCCATGGCAATGTATGTTTTCATTGCCAGTCTTGTTAAGTTTGGATTTTCTTGTGCGGTATGTGATGTAACAGTTAAGATTCTGCTTTTTCCTCCCAGGATATTGTGACACGACTTGGCCGCTGGATTTGATTTTTGACCGTGACTACAAGACACTTTTACCCATGGTTCATGGGAGTCCATCTGG